TGTGACATTTTGTGTTTCTAAAAAGATTAACAAGAGATAAAGAAGTGACCAGTATTTCTAAAAATGGACTGATCCTTTCAAAAGTTCTGTGGGTTGAGCAGGCTTTGAAGTGTATGGTCATTTATGGAATTAGAACCTTTTCTTCCCCGTGGTTCTTCCCAGCATTCCTCAAGAAAGCTTCCCCGCCAGGGACGACAGTGAAGAATTCCACAGCAGTGTCTCCTGACCAGACATAGCAGAAAACACACCCAAAGAAATATCGTGAACCCAAATTAGCCTCTTTACAAGCTTATTAAAGCATACGGGTTAGCATCCATTGCCCAAAATATAACAGAAAGGTGAACTTTTCCCCCACTCACACTTCCCTTCCTCTTTTCCACCACCTCCTCTGAAGGGCAGTAATTAAAGCAGGCTCTGGGATGGGTGGGTGTCTCCTTCATTAGCAGGTAAACACAACCAAAGTTCCTGAGAAATCCACTGTGAGCAACTCCAGCCACACTGCAGAAGAATTCCAGGCAGGGGCCAGGTTTGCAGCCCGGTCATTAGTCCTGAAGTCCATCAGTTCCTTGCATGTTAAAATATTACTATCTTTAGGAGCATGGAGACAGCGCTGCTGACCTGAATTGCTGTTTCTTAGGAAGCAGACAAGTGAGCAAGTAGTATAGCAATTAGCCTTTTTAAAATAAGCGCAGTCTTTGGGGAGCCAACTATCTTTAATAGCTATACATTTTTGCATAGCACTTCTAAAATATATAAAACACTTTCAAATATGCTTCTTCATTTAACCATCACTCTACCCAGGGGTGTATGTATAACTAGCTCCATTTTGTAAAGGAGGAAACTGGGGCTTAGAGACTGAGACCTAGGTCTTCCATCCAAGTCATGTATTGATTACTCTTTTAAAATGCTGATCACTCTTAACCCTTCTCTTTCGTGCTTATTTCTAAGCTTACCAGTTGGTATTGTGGGAAGTTTCCCAGGTTACCTTATGGAAGAGTCCCACCCAGGTGATTAGGCAATATTTACAAGTTGTTCAGTTGATCAGAGTCAGAAAGTGTTGTAAGGACAGTTCCAGCCTCCTTATTTTACCCATAAGAAAACTGAAGCCCACAGAGGAATTGACCTTCCTACCTTCCCTAGTCTGGACACACAAATCCCATTCATGGCAAAGTTGTGGCCAAGAGCAGTCCCCTGGGACTCCTGTCCCCTTGCAGAGTCTCACGGTCCCTCTGGACCTTTTACAACCAGAGCCAGGAAAGGCAAAGCTAGCACTTGGCTAATATGTATTCCTACCCTAGCACATTGTTTGATAAAATGAAAAGATCTTATTAATGGTGAAGTTATAAAATATGAGGTGAGAGGGAGCTTCCAGATAACTTGGGATAATCCTTTGTTTTCTGTGAGAAAAGTGAAAACACTTTGTACTTGGTAACTCTGAACTCCACTGTACTCAAGGCATCAAGTTCTGCCCACCCAGATCTCCACAGAAGGTCCGTCTTAAGGATTTCCAGACACAGGTATTTGACGTAGCCCTCACTTTGCTTTGGCAATGAAGATCAGGCATCAGCTGCTGGCTTGGATGATGTGTTCCCAGAGCAACATGGTGAGTGTGAGCTGCCAGCATTGAAGTGTCAGGGAGCATAAATTGTCGAGCCAGTTAAACATCCAAAAATGCCCTCTCTCAGAAGCAAGGGTGACTCATCAGCGCACTTGGGCTACAATTAGAAAGGCACTAGGGTGGCTGTGGGGGCTAAAAGCCCATGCTCACAAGCAGCTAGTTCCTTACCTCTGGCCCTCTGCTTCCATCTCCTTTCTCCCACTTGGCACCAGCACAAACTCTACTCCCAAACCCAGCCCTCCTCCTCCAGGAAGCCCACCTTGACTCTTCAAGCTCGGGGTGGGTCTCCCCTCTCAAGCCCCGAGAATCTGCTCTGTGTGAGTTGACACTTGATTCTATACTCTCATGTATTGTTTCTCAACCACCTTGAATGAGCGTTTTATAGCCGACCCAGATGGCACATGCTCAGAGGAAAGGAACTAAGCTTCTGCCTCTGTACCTACAGGGCATCTCTGAGTGTCACCAAAGAGCTAAGGTGTGCTAGGCTCACAGACAGACCTGCCTTCAGGATGCTCTCTGCTCTACCTTGTGTTTGCACACACACAGCGAATGCTCAAGAAATCCCTATTTGTTTCAATGTGGCTTCAGCCTTTTCAAAGAAAAAGCTCAGCAGCCCATGCCAAGCCTCTGTGCAAATTAGAGAGAAGGCAAACCTCCCTCTGGGCAAACACAGGGTGCATGGCTGGCAAGTGGAGTATGGGCAGGATTTCAGTCCCTCAGCTGTGTGCCCTGTGCAGTGAGCCACACATACCCCTTGGGTTCTGTCTCCCTGTAAAAGCAACAAGAAGATCTCTGGTCCTACTACCCCCAGCTCTCCACTCTGAGGGAGAGCTCTGCTTGGGAAAGCTGGCATCAGACACTTCCCAGCTTGCTTCCCAGATCCTTTCCTTTAAAACCAAATAACAACAAAAAGAAACACACCCCTGTGATAGCTCCTGGATATGGAGCTTGAGACGCCTCTGGTCCACGTTCCTGGCAGGGCATCTGGAGACCCTCTACGCTCCCCACTCTGGTCCTTCCAGCATGAGTCGCCCTACTTCTCTATGTGGCTTTCTTCCAGCCCAGAGTGCCCTTTTCCTGCTGATCTCTGTGTCAGATCCGATTCCCCTTCCCTTTCCCATCCCAGCCTGCTCCTCCTCCCTTTGCCTCAGTTCAGCACTAACTGTTCTTTCTGCTACTTCTCTTCCCCACCCACACTCTTCTTTTCCTTCCATGGCTTCAAACTCTATTCCAACGCTTTTCCAGCCTATAGCCAGTGGTCAGTGTCTTCCGCTCAGGCTTCTCTTGTCCTGCAGCAACCCAGATGCCTAACTCAGCACCACTCTAAGTTTCCCAAAGGAATCCATTCACAAACAAACTGGTGCACAATACTGACCTTACAAATGATTTATTTCACAGGAGCATGGTCTTCTATAGTCCACCCCACAACAAACTGTTCTCTGATCTTCACAAAGCATTCATGCTGTCAAATCCTTGGTTGGCAGCCCCGTCCTAAGAACGGCTTCTCTCTCATCACCCTTCCCCAGCGCACTCCCATCAAGTTGAGTCTCCATACTCAGTGTCTGCCTGCCTTTCCCATTTGTCCCACTCAACTTATCTCATTCTCATTTCAGTAGGCAGAGCAACTCAGTGTTGCCCCAGCTCCTACCTGCAAACATTCAACCCCAAATCCATCATGATGCCCAGCCAAATGCAGGCTGTCCTTCAGTTTAGACTTTCTTAGGAGGAGTCACAAATACACAGAGCCAAAATGCTTTTCCTGTAACACGTATGTGCATATTTCTCCATAGAAAATGTGGTTCAGAAGCAAGGATTACATTTTCTACCTTCACTCAGCCTAACACAGTGAAACTATATATAAGTAAGCCTGTGTCCAGGGCTCTCCTCCACCTGCGACAGGGACAGTCCTAAGCCTTTTCTGTCTCTCAGTTCCTCTTTCCTCCCAAGTAAGGCCCAGACTGGCACAAGGGGAACGTGCCTGAAGACACAGAAGGAGATTAATAAATACGTGCAGTTGTGAAATGAATGAGTCGGTGAGTGGAAAGAAAATGAGAAAAAATATAACAGGAACTTTGAGAGCATCCTCATTCAGATTATTTCCGTCTAGCGCAAGGGAACTTGGAGAACTGATCCAGGGTGACAGAGTGAAGCATCGGTGGGGAACTGGAGGATGGCGTGCAAACACAGGTTCTGATATTGGCACTGCCTTCACTACCACGTGGAGCCTCGGGGAGATCACTGAGCCTGGGTTCCTCATCTGTCCCAGCAGGCTGCCTACAGTGTCCCTGACACTGACTGTCAGGGTCCACTGGGCTGTTGGAGGCTTCTTCTCCAAGTGCCCAGACACACAGGGCCCCGTGGCGCCTCTGCACTCTGCAGAAAGCTTTTCTTGGCTGCAATACTGGCCTGGGGACCTTCACTGCCTGCTGGTGGAAAAGAATTCTCCACTGTGGAAACGGGTAAATGCCACATATTTTACAGATGAGAGTTTAAACTCCTAATGACTCTAAATGTGGTGTGAAATGGACAGAAGACATCCTGCTGGTGTGACATGCTTGAAATAGTGTCACATCACCATCACCCCCCACCCCCACCATGGGGACATGCACGTCATGGAAAGAGAAGAAACAAGTCACAGTGCCTTGGCCAATGCTGTACCCCTAGGCCCTTTTCTATAGTTTTAAGACAGAAGGGATTTTTTTTTTTTCCTGTAGGAATACAGTCCAAGGTCATCTAAAAGCAAAGGTAAAAGAGAATTAACAGCCCTCAGTCTTGAGACCTGACCTTTCGGAGCTGAGCGCTGGCTGTGGAGGGGAAATCAGTTTCAGCTGAGGCGCCACCAATCCCCAGCTCCGGGGGTCGGTGTGGTTAGAAATGTTCCTGCTGACAGGCCCAGAGGTTTGGAGGAAACAAAGAAAATTTGTTGATTTTATATATTTATTTTTTCTCTGATTTGGTCATGATTAGGGCAACTCGTAGCCAGACTGAGAAAAGGGAAATTTCCAGTGGGTATTTTATTTGTCAAACAGTCGTCCTAGGCCTCTGGGGTCAACTGGTCTCTGATGCCCACCCAGGTTACAGCCTCTTCACACAGCTAAAAGCCCTGAACTACTCCTTCCAAACCGAAGCCTTGTCAGTAAGAAGTGTCCTAACGACCAGGGGCCCCAAGATACACCCAAGGCGCTCCGGCCCTCACTGAGCGCATTCACATCCATGTGCGTGCGCGCCCGTGTCTGTGTGCGCGCGTGTATTTGTGTGTGGCGCGTGTGTATGCGCGCGCGCGGGTGTGTGGCGGGGGCGGGCTTTGAGCCCGGAGGCAGGGCTCCGCTGTGAGAGTGGCAGCTGGACTTGCCAGGCTGCGAGGGGCAGGGCACAGAGCCGCAGTGCCGTAGTGGCGGGCAGCCGGGATGGACTGCTTCGGAGCTGCAGGTCCCCCGGCAGAGGCGAAGACCCAGGCGCTGCCCAGCCACAGTCTGGCCGCCGGATCTCCCTAGCGCCCACTCCAGCTGCCATCTCCCTCCCCCGAGAGGGCTGCGTGGGCGGGAAGACGCTCCGACGCCAGCTTCGGTCCCCTTTCTGTCTCTCGGTTCCTCTTGCCTCCCAAGTAAGGGTATAAACCGCGAGGAAGGAGCGCCCCGGGCCACCGCGCAACCAAGTGTTGCATGGTGAGGTAAGACGGCTGCCGGCGCCGCGGTGGGGGTCTCCGGCCCTGGAGACGCGGGGTGCAGCAACTTGGAAAAGGAGGGCAAAGCCAGAGCTGGTCCCATGGCCAGGGAAGGGGCTGCAGCAGAAACCACTGCGCCCACCCTAACGGTACCACCTGGCGCAAAGCTCTACAGGAAGGGAAGCCCCACTCGAGGGGTGCGGGAACCAGGAAGGACATAGAATGGGGGCCCGGCTCCCTCTGAGATGGGTTGCCCCCCCCCAGCCCCAAAGGTGTGCAGGTGGGAGGCAGCCTTGTTCCAGACAGTTTGCTGAAGCAACTGGTCAGATTTCTTCCTTTTGGTCTTAACCTTGACTCCTTGATATCCAGTTCGCGCTCCAGGGTGCACAAGGGCGGCGAGGAGCAGGGAACCTTTTCCTAATGTCTGCCGGTCAAAGCCTCCGACCGTCCCGTGGGGTTCTAGGACTTTGGGTCACTCCACAAAGACTGTGGGCGGGAAGAAGGGAAGCTGAGGAGAACCCAGACACTTTGGTGAATAAAGGAGGGGAGGGTCAGGAAGAGAATCTAAGGTTGACCTGTTTAGTCCAGGAGTCACAAGATGTGTCCGTGTGTACGTTTGTGTTGGGAGGGGTGCGCATCCAGAATCACCTGTGGGGCTTTCTCCAACTCCACGGCCCACCAAACCCTGAATGTTCTGAGATTTTCTTTCTCAGAACGAGCGGTCTAGAATTTGGGGAGGGGGCTGTGGAGTTCTAAACGCCCTACAGGTGATTCCGGTACGCTGTCCCCACCGTCACTGCAGTGGAAAGCATAGGAGGAGAGTGAGAAAACATGTCTTACATGTGAGAAATCCAGCTGTGAACTCAGGGCGGTGGTCCTGACACCTACCCCAGCCGCCCCCGGCGGCGGCAGGAGGGTCTGCGGCAGCGCAGGGTGATCGTGCCTGCGTTGCAGTGGCGCGGGAGTGCTGTGAACCCGCGGGCGCGCTCGCAGGGGCAGCGCGGCTGCCTCCCCGGGCTTCATTAGCATACGATGACCTCGCTGCGTGGAGGAGGGGCTGGGAGCGCTGTTTGTCATTCTTGGTTTTCCAGGGCTTGAGAGACACACCTGGGATCTAAAGGTGAACCCCAGGGGAGTCATGATGAGGAACAGCACTCAGGACAGAGGACTAGAAACTGCTTCTCTGGTCGGAATGAGGGGATCGACTTAGTTGGTTTTGGTGCTTAGGATTTTCAGTTCGCAAAATACAGCTCAAGAGCCACTTGCTGGAGCACAGGGCAACCTCGTTATCCGTGAAGGACATAGATCATAGGGGGCAAAAGTAAAGGTTTGGTGGTATGAGCTCGCGCGCGCACACACACACATACACACACACACCCTTTATGTTTTATGCCTCTTTCATTCCTAGAGTGTGTCCAAAGCCGGAAGATACTTTGCTATTTGCCATGTCAAAAAAGAGCTATATCTGAGAGAAATTACACTCCAAATATAAATTACGCTCTCAAAGGCAGCTGCTGCAGCTAAGTTAACCTCGTCTTGTGCTCCTGATCTAGGGGGTTTTTTGCTACTCACTCTTAACTCTTAACGTCCAGCACCATAGACACTATTACCACTGTTTTGGGGGGAGAGGCCTGGAGGTGGAAAGCTAGTAGGAGTCTTTCCCACCTTAGAATTTTATGCAGTGTTGGATTCAGACCAGGTAAGACTTGGGGAGGAGGACGACAAACGTTAGAATGTCTTGGCATCTAGACTCTCAGAGACAGGAGTAACTCCTGAGATCATCTGTTCCAGCCCCACCGCACCCCCAACTGTCCACACAGCACCATCAACAGGTGGCAAGTACCCCTTCAACCCAGACGCCCCCAGAGGACAGGCTGTATATGTGTGAGGCTCTGCCAAGGGAAGGACCCAGAGGGCATCTCTCTCCTGCTATTGGGGGTGAGGGGATGCTGGCCCCCACCTCTTCCCTTGGAAGAGAAGGAGAAAGAGAGAAGTACTGTTCCATTATAGTACAATTCTTTTGAAGAAAAAAAAACACCTTATTGTATTACATCATCATGATATGATACTTTAGTACAAAAGTAGTTCATTGCAGAAATTTTGGGAAGTTGAAAAGTACACAAAGAATCAAATCACCCATGATCCCAGATTGAGCACTGTTATGGCATATTTCCTTTCCTTCTATTTTTGTCTTGAAATCCATAGAAAGTCAGCATTTAGTGGGGACCTAGTAAATATACTTTGTGTGGTGTTAGTCTTTTATCTTCATTATGTCATTTAATCTTTAGAAGTCCCTCTGAACTAGATATTATCATTATGACCTCCATTTTTCTAGGGTTGCATTTTTCCAGGGTTCTTAGAATTCAGGTGACTTGCCCAAGTCACACAGCTAGTAAGTACCAGGGCCAAGATTCAAACCCAAGCTGTCTGTCTCCAAAATATGGTTGTTTAGTCTCTGCTTTTTTTCTTAATTAGTGTTCTAGCAAAAGTCTTTCATGAGCATCATTTTCCTGGCTATGTGTTATTACACTATTAGTCATTTAAGTTTCTTCCTGTCCTTAGCAACTACAGATAACTCTACATAAAGTCTTTACTGTATACATGTCCCATTACTTCCTGTGGATAGGTTCCTAGAAGTAGATCACTGGGCAAAAGGGCATGAATGTTTTAGGCTCCCAAAACATGAAAGAAGACACTTTTCAAAGGGGCTACATAAATTTATGATTGCCTTCACCAGAGGCAACTCTGCCATTGTCAAAGCCAGTGACCCCTGAGGATTTAAATAGGCCAGGGCTTCACAAAACCAAGCCACATCACATGAGCTGACATCAGAGAAGGACTCACACACATCACCCTACTTTATACACTCAAGTGTGATTATGGAAACCATACAGTATAAAGCTGTGCCTGTTGTTAAGCGAGCTGCAGAATTCTTTGGCTAGATGGCACATACCAACTTTGAACAATTCAAACTATTGCATAAAATATGCAAGTGTGCATAGAATCCCACTTTTCCACATAAGCAATTATTATAATCCTCACTCCTCTGATTGTGCGTCAATATCACAGCCAGATTCAGCAAACTCAGCCAATCAGTAACAGCTTCTTCACGTTCTGGCCTTATTCATCGTTTCTTTATACAAGTATCAGAATTTTACAACCAAACCATAGCGAGAGTTGATGTCACCTTAGAAGTAGCAGAGTTTGTCTGATCAAAAAACTTCAACAAATTTAGCCAGGTGTTGTGAGGGGCACCTGTAGTCCCAGCTACTCCGGAGGCTGAGGCAAGAGGATTACTTGAGTCCAAGAGTTTGAGGTTGTTATGAGCTATGACATCCCAGCACTCTACTGAGGATGACAGGGTGAGACTCTGTCTCAAAGAAAATATTCTAAAATATTAAAATATCTAAATTACTACCTACTAATAAAACAGTTAAAATTATACATGTCATTAACAGAATGTCCATAGGTGGAAGAAAATGTGGCTGACAGAAGGGAGATAAAATTAGACTCTACAAAAAAAACACAAAAGGGCAATTTAGAAGAAAACAGACCGATTGTAGTTACAAGTTTTTCCTAGAGCCATGTTCACAACTGCCACCAGCAGTGGGTTTATTAGCTCTGGCACATAATCTGTTGTTGTAAATGGAATAAGTATCAGTTGAGCCCCTACTCTGAGATCTCCTTATACAAGACTCAGCAGGTGTCCTGAGACTGCTTGTCTGGGTTAGATGCCTCACCCCAGCACCTGTGCATATGCTTACCTCACCTGGGTGAAATCACTTACTTGAAGACCCCCACTAAACCATGAGCTCCCTGAAGGTGGAGACCGTGCTTACTTCTCCCCCATAGCACCAGCACCTGAGATAATACTGATGCATAATCAACCATTAAATGTGATGAATGAGCAAACAGGGGAATTTTCCAGGTCCTGTACTGGATGCTTTAGGTGCATTTCTCTTTCAGTCCATCTTTATTCTGCTTGGAAACATGTCTGAAAAACATCTACAGCTGTGCTTCCTAATTTCACATGTAATTATTTTCATAGGCTCTTAATTCATTAAAACTAAATAAAATTTAAAATCCACTTCAGTCACACCTGTCACATTTCTAGTGCTCTAATGTCACCTGTGTCTTCTGGCTGCCATAGTGGAGAGTGCACACATAGAACAATTCCCATCATTACCAAAAGTTCAACTGGACCATGCTGGTTGGAGTGTAAGCTTGGTAGAGGCAAGGGGTATGTCTATATTTGTCTTGTTTTCCACCATATCCTCTGCTTACGATAGTGTCTGGCTCAGAGAAGATTGGGGGAGGAAGAAAGAGAAGGGATGGTGGTAGTAAATGTAGTAATATTAGCGACAGCATTCATTAGGCACCTACTCCATGTCCCATATTGTGCTGTATTTTGTAGACCCATTGTCTCACTTCATACCCACATCACTACCACCTCGCAGAAGAAACCAAGTCTCAGAAAGTTTGAGTAACTTGTCTGTGGTCTCAAAGATGGTAGGAGAGACTGACCTTTAAACTCAGGTCCACATGATTTCAAAGCCTGTTCTCTTAGGCCTTTTGCTTTATTGTTTCAGTAATTTCTCTGGGTGGTGATGCTGAGGCAAACTGCCACCATCTTGGCTTCCCAGGAAATCAGCTAAAGGGTACTTTTGAAGGCTTTCCAAGGGAAATAACTGGCATAATTTGTGAATGTGAATGACATTTCCAGAGCACAAAATTTTGCTCAGGGGCCCAAGAGAATTTATCCCTGGATAAGGGAAGTAGGAAGAAAGGAAAACCTATCCATAGTGTGGCCTGACTAGAGCGCCAAAACCTAGGAGAGCTGGCCAGCCAACCACCGGGTTCTGTGCTTCTGTTCTGGGAGTCCTGTCACCAGCTCCTGCCTCCACCAAGACCTCACAGCCCAGTAATGGTCTGGCCTGGCTCTCCACTCCCCATCAGTGCCCTGCCCACCACTCCACCCTAATGCATAGGCCCTTTGCCCTGGTGCC